CAAAAGTATGTGAATATTTGTTTTTAGTAACTGGTGTGCCCATCTTGGGCAGCAATAACTGCAATTAAACATTTCTGATAACTGTTGATCAGTCCTGCACATCAGCTTGGAGGAATTTTAGCCTATTCCTCCCTACAGAATAGCTTCAACTCAGGGATGTGGGTGGGCTTCTTCACGTGAACTGTCCACTTCAGGCCCTTTCACAACATTTCTATAAGGTTAAGGTTAGGACTCTGACTTGGCCATTCCAAAATATTAACTTTCTTTTGCTTTAACCATTCTGTGGTCATACAACCTATATGTTTTGGGTCACTGTCTTGCTGCATGACCCATTTTCTCTTGAGCTTCAGTTCACAGACAGATAACCTGATCTTTTCCTGTAGAATTTGCTGGTACAATTCAGAATTCATAGTTCCAACAGTGACGGCAATCTGACCTGGTCCAGAAGCAGCAAAGCAGGCCCAAACCATGATACTGCCACCACCACGTTTCATATTTGGGATAAGGTACTCATGCTGGAATGCAGTGTTTGCCTTTCACCAGACAGAATGCTTTTCATTCAAGCCCAAAAGTTCTCTTTTGGTCTCATCCATCCACATAACATTCTTGCAATATAGCCTTCTGGCTTATCCATGTGGCCTTTTGCAAACTGTAGAAGTGCAGCAGTGTTCTTTTTGGAGAGTAGTGGCTTTCTCCTTGCTACCCTGCCATGTACACTGTTGTTCAGTGTTCTCATGATGGTGGTCTCATGAACACTGACGTTCACTAATGCAAGACAGGCCTTTACAGGTAGTCCTTGACCTAAGACCGCTTGTTCAATGACCGCTCGAAGTTACAACGGTGCTGAACGAATGGTGGTTATGACAGGCCCTCAGAATTCCGGCCATCCCAACACCCCCACAGTCATGTGATTGTGATCTGGGAGCATGGCAACCGGTTTGCACTTATGACCGGTTGTAGCACGCTTCTATCACGTGATCACCAAAGACTCAATGGGGAATTCAGCAGGGAAGGTCACAAGTTGCTGGGGTAAGTCTCTGCCACCCACACACCCTCCCCTAGCTGCTTTACACTCTCACTGCACCAGCCACTTGCACACCCCCATGCACTCTCCCCAACCTCACCATGCCTCTTGTGCACTCACTCACACCCTCCCTGGCCTGTGTCGCACCTCTTGCACGCCCTCCCCACACCTCTCATGCACCCCTCACATTCTCATGCACCATCCCCGACCCTCTCTATGCTTCCTCCGCACCCCCCCACACCTTCTCCCTCCCTCCCCCACCCAGCAGCAGCCACTTACTGCCTGCCAACCTGGAACTTGCAACTTCCTGCTGGCTTCCCCACTGACTTTGGTTGTGGGAAGCTGGCAGGAAGTTGCCTCACCTAACAATCATGGGATTCAATTAACACCACCAACTGGGACTGGAGGGATTGCCATTACTAAGTGATACAGCTGCTCTTTACAACCGCGTCACTTAGCAATGGAAATTCCAGTCCCAATTGCCATCATAAGTTGAGGAATACCTGTAGTTCCTTAAACATTACCTTGGGGTTGAGACCCTCCAGAGTATTACATGCCTTGCTCTTGGTGTGATCTTGGTTGGTCGACCACTCCTGGGGAGGGTAACAACAGTGTTGAACTGCCTCCATTTGTACACAGTCTGCCTGACAGTGGACTGGTGGAGTCAAACTCTTTGGAAATAGTTTTGTAAGCTTTTCCAACCTGGTGTTTTTCAGGGGTTCTCAGACATTTCCTTTGTTCAAGCCATGACGCACTTCCACATACCTGTATTGTGAAGATCAGACTTTGATAGTGAAGACTTAGAATTCTGTTCTTTAAATAAGGCATGACCTCCCACGCTCACACCTGATTATCACTCTAATTTCCCCTTCCAATGAACTGACAATCCTAAAGGGTCACGTACTTTTGCCACACACAAATATGTAGCTTTGGATCATTTTCCTCAATAAATAAATGAAAAAGTATGTTTTTGACTCATTTGTTTAATTGGGTTCTCTTTATCTACTTTTAGAACTTGGGTGGAGAACAGCTCATGTTTTAGGTCATATTTGTGCAGAAATACTGAAAATTCAAACAAGTTCACAAACTTTTAAGCACCACTATACATGGATATTTTGCTTTTTATTTATTTAATTTTTTTTGGTACCAGTCACTGGCCATAATAAAGTCTGTTCTGTTCTGTTCTGTAATCTGCAGCTTTGTTAACATGTTTCATCCTGGGATGGAGGTAGCTCACATTTATATTTTCAAAATATTCCACAATAAACCTATCACAGTGTGTTCTTCATCTCAACAATACAAAAAGCAATCCGCAATTCTTACAGAATTATAATATTCAGTGTGGCAGTAGCAGCATCATGAAACATTTGAGTGTAGAGTAGCCACATTCACTGTATTTTAATTAAAATGAAGTCAAATTTTGTTTTTTTCCTAGCCTCACTCCTCATTTTATGGAATACACTTCCAGTCCCCACTCAAACACCAAGTGAGGCCTTCAGCTCAGAACAAGTTATACACTCCCTTATCGTTTGGAAAGTTTATTGAGAAATATTTATGAACAGAATGAGAAGGGGCAGAGAAATGAAAAAAGATCTTCCTGCATATATTTGTTTCCAACTAGACTTCTTAACAGAATGGATAGCTGTGCACTGAATTTACTAACAAGATCAAAGGCATTTGGAGCAAGAGGCAGAGGAAGCAGGAGGCTGTCAACAACCTGCAATTAAGGAGAGCTTTATAGCCTGGAAGGAAACGGACAAAGCCCTAGATTCTTGGGACCCGATCAGGAAGCCACCTCACCCTTTCCTTTAGCTAAGGAAGCTGCTTTATCACTGAATCCACACGGAACCAATGCATGTTAACTCCTGCTGTACATTGTGCGTGTGTGTGTAGCAGAGTCACATCAGACACTGGGAGCAGTCCACAAGAAAATTGAATTGCCTCCTATATGGCAGGGCATCTGCCTGCCTAAATACACAGTACTCTCCCAAATTCAGTGAAGTGTTGGCAGCGGCAGCATCGTAGGTCAAATGATGTCTAGACACGCAAGCACTGATGGAAAGCTGAAGTGAACAGATGGGATTGAACAATATCCAGCAGGAGAGAAAATTTAAACCTAAAAACAGGACAGAAAAAGAAGAGTGCTTGACACACATACTCCATGATCCTCTCCAACGTTCTGTAGAAGTCTTGCATTAGAACAGGGAGCTTAACATCCAGCTGTAGAAATAATAATTTAAAAAGGGAAATAGCAGATGTTGCTAAACAATTACAAATAAGGGAATTCAATTTCATCTTGTATTTCAGTGGTCCCAGCAGGAAATCTCAGGGCAAGACATTTTCTTTTCAAGGTACAACTCAAGCAAGTTCAATAGTTGTGAACGGGGAGCAGAGAAAGAATGAAAAATAAGCAGAACAATTACTTACTGCGGTTTGATGTCTACCCGCTTTGTAAAACAAATACTAACAAGTGCAGAAATTCAGCAAATTAGGATTTGCCTCAAAAGTAATTCTGATGTGAACTTCACAGAGAACAAAGGGACCATCCAAGTCAATCCATTATCCTACTGCAGAACATTTTAACTAAAAAGTTATTTTCTATGGACAAGTTTTCTTCTATATCACCACTTTAGCATCTCTATTATTTGACTCCACAGCCACAATTATCTCACTGTTACCTCTATCCTCCATTTATTTGCAAATTAGGTTAACTGGAGCTCACTTAGGCTATGTAACAACTGTCTGCCTTCTATAAAGGTACATTATGTGCAAATATCAAAACTTTACATTAACAGTTAAGTCCTCATCACATTATTTCAAAAGCCAATGGATACTGTTGAATATTTCCTGGATGTTCCTTTTCTCTCTGTCTCTCTCTTAAATACTGATATATATCAGGTTGAAAAATGCAATTGAGCAAATTAGTGAATACTTGGCAAAAAAGAACCAATATCCAAGCAGAAAATAAAGAACAAGGCTTCTTCTCATCCCAGATTCCAGAATGTCAATGTGCAAAAGTGGGTAATTTGAAATCTTTTGTAAATTTGGTTTGTAAATTTGGTTGGCCACAGACTACGGTTTACCTAGTCCAAGGGCTATGATTTATCTCTCTTTGATATTTAAGTCATACCTATTCTTACTCAGAAAGAACAGGTTGTTATGAATACTTGTTAACACACACATGGAAGACCCGTCACAAACAATAACATAACACAGAAGCCTAAATAAAAAAGACACTGGTAGAAATCTTTCCCATAATGACTAAGTAAACAGTCACGGTGACTACTAAGTACATTTTAGTTTTTACATAAAGTAAGATAGTGCCCCAGAAACATTCTTAAGAGCACTAGAAATTGAATTCATTTTTTAAAAAAGAATATCCTGAAACTCTTTTACTTTACTGAGAACATTAGATATTAAACCTCTATTAAAATCAATACTTACATGTATATTCTACAATTTTTCCAAAGGGCTCAAAATGCTACTGTTTTTCTGAAACATAACATTTCCAGCTGAAGGACTGGAGATTTTTGTATTCACAGCTTAGCACAAGGTCAAATTAATTATTTTCACATCGGTCTCAGAGACCTCTCCAACATTAAACATGGTTCCCAGTACTGTACTGATGCCTGCAGATGAAGTAAATTATAAGCACTTGCATTTTCAATTAGAGTTGGGAACAAAGGGTTCATTCAGGTACATTTTCTTTCTCTTTCTCTCTTACACTCCCAAGGCAAAGGATGAACATATCTACCTTCCTGTTAATAATAATTAACAATCAAGAACTGTAAATGAACTGCAAAAGAAGGAGCAAAAATGAACAGCAACAGGAAAAGGTCAAAATGAGAGCCACTCAGACAACAGCAATAAATAGCCATTAAGACTTCATTCCAAAAACATTTGCTTGAACTTTCCATTGATCGGTCAAAAGGAAGCAAAAGGATGAAACAAAAAGCAAAAAGGAAAGAAAGAAAACCTTAATGCAGCTGCTGAAGTTCCTTCCTGTCCGGAGCAAGAGAAACGACTGTTTACTTTCTTTACATACTGTCAACAATTCACATGCAGTATTAGAGAGTCATAAAGACTGAGATTTAAACATGCATTACTAGTTCCTTGTTAATGACCTACTCCACACGTATGTGTACCCTCAAGCTTGTAGTAGAAAGCTTCCTAAATTGTCACCACTTCCTGAACAACACTTGTAAGGAACATATTAGCCCCGCTCTCTGAAGCACAAAGTAAAGCTCTCCCTCTTTCTTTAAAACCCACTGGATGATTGAGGCTGGGCCAGTCGCTCTCCCTCGGCCCAACCTACTGCACAGGTTGTTGTGGGGAAAACAGAGGACAGAGCATTATGTACATTGCTTTGAACTCCTGAGTGAAAGCCGAGATGGAAATAGAACAAATAGATAAAACCTAGATTTAAAAGCAGTTAAGCTTATTCTGGCCAAGCCTTCAGCTGTTTTGGCACTTATTTCTACTTTTTAGTCTTACCTATTCTCAGCCCTCCTCCCTATATACATGTCTTTCATAAAGTTAAAACTAAGCTGCATGTCAATTCTTTCCAAATCCAGCTTTTGAATGAAGCATCTTATTGATGGTTTACCAAATGCTCCCCGGATCCTCTGCATCGAATAGCCCAATAGTTGTGCACACACATCCTTATGGCTGAAGGAGGACAAACAAGGTAGCAGCCCCATCTTTGAAGGTATGTGCATGTGAAAGGAGAGGGGATGAAAGTGATCCCATACTTTCCCCTCTAGTCACAAAAGTCCAAGACTAATTTCAAACTCCAAGGCATATTTTATTGATCTGCATCTATGTTTTATGCAAGTCCCACCTTATCTTAAGAGATTGATGTTCTTCAAAATAAAGGGTCAGAATTTGGCGTACAGTATTACTGAAATGTCACAGCGGCATACAATCTGTTCTTTGATGGCCTCCCACACACCCATCCATCCACACTGTGGAGATATAAATTCAGCTGAATCCAAGGGATTTCTCTGTGAGAGCTGAGATCGAAGTCATGGGGTGGCCTTCCAAAGCTCTCCTCCTCCTCTTCATACAGCACACATCTTGTTAGAGAAAAGAAAGCTGAAAAGGGAGACTAGGTCCTTCCTTCTTGATGCCTATTCTAGTACTACAGAGCAAAGGGTTGAAGAACTGGTCGCTGAAAACTGATATTATAATGCACAGAACTGACAATACAGTACAGCTATTTTCAGCTCCATGTTCTTTTACCCTTAATTATAGACTACAACCCTCTCAAGGGAAAAACCTGCCTGTTGATTCTAATATATATTGATAACAGTGCAAAAATAATTAAATATAAACCCAGGCTCCAGATGGACCAGTTTAGATGTGCACAAAAGAACTAATACACCTAGAACAGCCATTAAATTTTGGGCACTGGCTCAAAATCTGCCTCAAAGGGTGGGGACAACTGCTTTGCCATTAAGTGCCTATCTATAGTGATCATGTGCAATGAAACAGTTAAAGGATGCGATTCCGCTTTCACCTTAGTTTTAGCAAGGCAGCTGGGCAAGGAACTGAATGACTAGGAGATGATGTGCTGAATGGAGAGAAAAAGAAAAATGGGGAGAACTGATTGAGGGGGGAGGGCGGACTTTTCAATGAACATCTGAATAACCGATAATACCCAGTGACTGACTTCAGGTGTTCAGGAGAAATCCTTCCCTCCCTCCGGGCACTTCTTCCAGGACGCAGCCACGAGAAAAGTCCACACAGGCAAGAAACCGCCGAGGTGGACTTTTGCAGGACTTCTTGCAAGGCTGCCCTGGGCAGTTCGAGGGGAATGGGAATCAACGAGTCT